TGTTTACTACCATTAAAAACTATTATTCAAAAGTGGAAAAAGTCATGAATCAAACGCCATACATCGATAATAAACAAAGATAAATGGGCAAATACAACAAAAAATTATTTACATCAAAAAAAAAAAAACCTAATCCAAAGGAAGGAAATTATATGATACTAGAAAACTGTACATCAAAAATTATACATCGAAAAATATACATCAACAAGTGAACAAAAACAAAGATAGTAGAAAAAAACAATCATTTACATAAAAAACTTCAAGTCTGAGATATCAAAGTCCGTGATACGGATATCCCATACATCTCTGGCCAGTTTGTCGGTGTTCTTTATGTCACTGCCTGCTCCGTTAGCTCTTCCTTATGGCAGACACATCACACGCTTGTTCAAATAATCGCTGAACCTCCGCCAATTCTAAAAAAAACACATAAAGTTTTCCTAAAAAATAACTCCCGACTTCAACTGAAAGAGACTATCCTCACGAACAGCAGGTAAATTAATGATTTGTAACCAGCTACTACTCCCAAACCAGAGGAATGACAACGGATGAAAGCATGCCCAAGTGAAAACCCAAGAAGCAACATTAACCAGCATTTCAGCTCGATCATGCGTTTTTACGCCAAACTTGAAGCAGTCAGGTCGTTAACAGTATGAATAGTGAATAGCCTAACATATGCACCCATGCTGGCTGTTTGGTCTTTCCTTACCTGCAGGGACAAGGAGGTCGGCTGGGACGACAGTGTTGCATCCTGGCTCCGTGTGAAACTTTATTCCCTGTATGATTATCATAAATTTTGCAAGGAAGGTGAAAAAGTAGAATTAAGCGTTTGTCGTATACATTTAGAGAATTTAGCCCCCAAGATGAATTTAGACCACAAGTGGATAAAGAATATCCCTGCAAAATTTCATTTTGCAGCTTATCCGGCACCGGAAATCGTTAACTGTTGCATTTTAGCGTGCCCAAAGGCGTGAAACAAGTGTAGTTCGAAACTCTATTTAGATACTCGAGTCCCCAAATTGATGGATTATACTCCGGTGAAACTATAGCTATTGTTTTCTTGCTAGTTCTTGTGTTGAACTTAGACGTAGCCGTATGCACGAAGTTAAGATTTCAAGAGGGTCTATGATGCAGCATTAAAATCAGAGTTCCTGGCTGGCATCATGCCAACTCTTGTGCCGCACAAGCGCGAGAGCTGAATTTGAAATCTTCACGTTGCAAATGGGAGAACATTATTGCAAAGGTTCAGATTCTGAAGTTAACTGATTCCAAAAATTGTTTTCCACTAAAAAATTTCCAGGCAACCGCACGCAAAACACAGGCACATGTGAACGCAGATTTTAAAACGCGAGGGTAGCAACAGGTAAACATATCACGCAAAAATGCAAAAGCAGTGAAGCAAAATGGGTTTTCATCGCCTAAAAAACACAAAACTAACTAAAAGAACTTTCAAAAAAAAAAGCGGAAAACCGACTGATAACTCTGGGCTTGTGCTTTTGCTGCAAGCTGCGTGCACCACTGATTTGAAGGAAAGAAAGAAAGTCCCTGTAAATGGGATCTGACTGCATACAGATGGGAACTCCAAACCTAATTAAAGGAAATTTTACGTTTTGTTACCAAAATATGCTGAACAAGAACTTACAATAATCTACAGGAGGATGAAATCGCGCTGAAATATGCATTCACATCATTACCGCCGATGTGATGCATGCACACGTCGAACGCCCCCTTCCTGCAATTCATGAAAGAGATTCTGACATGTGCTGAAGAAGTATCAAAGCATTTTAATTCCATATAAATGAAGAAACTATAATGAAGAACCATGCGTTGCCGCCACTTCTCACAGTATATTAAGATAGACAAGGCTCCCAATGGCAGCTCAGTTACTCGCACAGTTTTGCAAATATTTTCAGACTGCTTTGTACTTTCTTCTGCGAGTAGTCTCAGAAGTGAAAAAAAAAAAAAATACATTATCACATGCTCGAACGCTACAGCAACGGTTTATCATCAAAACTTTCAGCTTTTTTTGAAGGACTTTTTTTAACTATGTTTTTGAAATATGGTAAGACAGACAGAACAGCGTTGTAAAACTATTCCGACAAATTAATATTGAAAAAAGCAAAAGAAAGACAGTGTTTCAGCATAACGCTGCCAGGACCCCTTAACACGGAAATGTACGGTAGCACCAGGCGTGCTGCTGCTGCACTGCCAGACATCTCAGTGTTAGCCGCAGGTCTATGCACTGTCAAAAGCTCTGACATATTAACATTTTTGCCATTTTGCCAAAGGTACTTCCAACTGCGCAGAATTCGAAAAACACTCTGCTCGAGACCCAAAGACCGAGAAAACGCCAGCAGCGAGAGAGAGGGGATACGAGCACATGCTGTGCTCGCCCACTGCTCGATTACGATACGGAACAAATCCAGCAACCAAAGGAAAATTTACTTTTTTCCCATCAAAACAAGAAGCTGAATTCAAACGTACAAAAAACTACGTGAGGACGATATCGCGCTGAAATATGCATTCACATCGCCCTCGCGCTGAAATATGCATCCACATCATGCATCCACATCACGTACTGGATGCATTCAGGCGTCGGAATGTTCCATTCTTAAAATTCATAAAAGAGATTATTATAGGTAGTGAAAAAGTGTCAAAACATTTCAAATTCACAAAAATGAAAAAATCGTTGGGAAGAAACTTCTACACCGTGACCCCTCGTGGCACCTAGAGACAGGTAAGACTCTCGCGAGCCAACTTTTCTTATCCCGCAAAAATCTGCAAAAATCTAGCACTGTGGCATTCAGACTGCCAAAAAGTAGCAGTAACGAGATGTGACAGAATTTGACAAATACTCAGCTCGAGACCCAAAAACCGAGAAAATGCCAGTAGCGAAAGAAGAGGAGATAGGGGCATATGCTGTGCTTGCCATTAGCTCGATTACTGATACGGAACAGATCCTGCAACGCATGCTTCCCAGTCCCCCGTGCATCCGCCACGATGCAGGCAGCTAGCGAAGGTTGCAAGA